CTCAGCACTTGAAACAGTTCCTTCGCAGTTGACTTTCCCAATGCTACACGTCGTCTAATGTCCTGACTGCTCCTTCCGTTGGCATCAATTGTAAAACCAAGCAACGTGAATTCCTTGACAACCTATATGCATATATGCTATATATGCATTTTTTAAAACTGCGTAAAATTCTCTTGAATGAATACACCTTAATTAAGTTGCCTATTTCCTTACTGATGGGCACGTAAGTTGTTTCTTTTACTATTAATTTTTTTTTATTTTGCTAATCTATGCATATCTCCCTTGTACACTTTGGTTTCCGAGGAATACTGAGTCAAAGCATACACATGGTCAATGCTGTTAGGTAATGCCAGACTGACCTCAGAGGACTGCAGCCACTTCTATACCGATAACTGGATTGTCCTGTGTTCCGCACACTCACCACCATGGGTGTCACGGCTCTTCTGTTTTATAATCGGACGACTGGGGGAGAAGTGGGCAGACCCACACTTCAAGTTGCGTTTCCTTGACCACTGGGGATGTTGACCCATCTGCCCATCTTCCTTTGCTGTATCTCAATCCTGGGAACCGCTGTTGGCTTTGTCCATTTTCTGCTGACCTGAGCACGCGACTGACTTGTGACGGGACTCACAATACCAGGCACTATGCTTCTTTCTCACGTCTGCAAATATTTTCTGTTGGTCTCTCATTTGTCTATTAACTTTATGGTTTTTTCCACCAGTTAAATGCCTATAACCTAACATTAGCTCCTGGTTTGTGTGTAATACACTTAGGCAAGTCAGCCTCACAATGAGTTCAGAAAAATACTACTGTAAATCTCTCATATACTTTAACACTTTACAATTAGATCTTTAATTTGTGTAACAGATAATGTAAGAGATGTTTTCTAGAAAGCCGTATGATCAATCCGTCCTTTCCCAAATGTAATGAAAAACCTTTCTTCACCTTGTTGTTGTTGTTATGTGCCGTCAAATCGGCCCCGACTCATAGCAACCCCTCCTTGGGTTTCTGAGACAGTATCACTACGGAAGTAGGATTCCCCAACCTTCCTTCCGAGGAGTGGCTGGTGGGTTTGAACGGCCAGCCTTCTGGTTAGCAGTCAAGTGCCTTAGGCACTATGCTACCAGAGCTCCTAGAAACCTGTAAAAACCAAATCCATTGCTGTTGACTTGATTCTAACTTGCAGCACCCTTACAGGACAGGATGGAACAACCCCACAGGATTCAAGGCTGTCATCTTTTGGGAACAAACCAAACACACTGCCATCGAGTCGATTCTGACTCATAGCAACTCCCTTTGGGTTTCCAAGGCAGTAAATCTTTATGGAAGTAGATTGCCCAGCCTTCCTTCTGTGGAGTGGCTAGTGCATTTGAACTGCCAACCTTCTAGTTAGCAGTCAACTGCCTTAGGCACTACGCCACCAGGGCATCTTATCTTTATAGAAGCAGAGCCCAAACCAAACCCAGCGCCCCTAGAGGACAGAGTGGAACTGCCCCAGAGGGCTTCCTAAGCTGTCAGTCACTACGGAAGCTGACTGCTCACCTTTCTCCGTCACCAGACGGGTCCAAAAGTGCCACAGGCACTGGATGAGACTCCCCATCCCCAGCCTCTCTGTCTCCGCAGCAGACCAATAAGCAACATTATGGTAAGTGGAGAAAGGACGGAAGTCGTCAGGGATTTCATTTTAGTGGCACCTACAATCAGTGCCCACGGGAGCGGCGGTCAATAAGTCAAATGACCTTTCGGGCAAACCTGCCGCAAAAGACCTCTTTAAGGTGTTAAAAAGCAAAAATGTCACTTTGAGGACTAAGGTCCTCCTGACCTGACCATGTTTTTTCAACGGCTTCACATGCATGGAAAGCTGGACAGTGAGTGAGGAAGACCGAGGAAGAACTGATGCTTGTGAACTGTGAAGAACACTGAATGGACCCAAAGGACAAACAGAGCTGTCCTGGAAGAAGTGCAGCCAGAATGCACCTTAGAAGCAAGGATGGCGAGACTCTGTCTCACTTACTTTGGACATGTTACCACAAAGGACCAGTCCCAGGAGGAGGACATCATGCTTGGTGAAGTAGCAGGTCAACAGAAAGAGGAAGACTCTCAATGGGCGGCATGGGCACCGTGGCTGCAGCGATGGGTTCAAATATGGCAATGGCCGTAAGGCTGGAGCAGGACTGGGCAGTGTTTCATTCCCTTGTACACAGGGTCGCTGTGACTCAGAGCTAACTGAGTAGCAAATGGCAACATCATTTGTCACATACTTATCACAAAGCATGAATTTCAATTTTTGTGTCTTCTCCCTCCATCTGTGAGAGCAGGAATTTTGGTTTTGTTCACTTCTGCATACTTAGCACCTAACACCTAGCCTGGAACATTAGCAAAATTCTCAGTCAGCATTAATTGAATGAGTAGTACATTTCCAGTGCAGTACTAAGTACCATGGTATCGCCCCAATTCTGTAAACAGATGGCTGAATCAACTTGTCAACTTAAAAATATTTTGAGATTTTATCTGCACATCAGTGAACTTACAGATTTAACTTGGGCAGACATGGTACCTTTACCAGACTGAGCTTTCCACACACAGGTATGCTTAACTCTTTTTTTGTACGTGTTTAAAAAATACTTTCCATAAATTTTGAACATCTACGTTCATAATGAATTGCTGTGTTATTTATTTTTCTGTTTTGCTATTACATACAGAGTCACGTTAGCCTCATACAAGAAGACGGAGAGCTTTACTGTATTTTTGTAGAACAATTCAAATAGCACAAGAATTGTCCATACTGGATTTTTAAAGGTTAAGTTGTTGAACTATGCTTTTAGTTTATTTCATGGGTATTATCTATTTACATTTTCTAGCTTCTTCTTTTTTTTTCAATCTATGTTCTGTCTATTCCTACATATGCTCCAATGCCTTTGTTGTTTTTTACATTTATTTTTGTTGTTGAGACTATGACAACAACAAATACACCAATCCTTTTCTACATTTCAGTGACACCAGTTCCATTCTTCAGGCTGTGCAAGCATTCTCACCCTCTTCTCAGTTGTTCCTCCCCCATCAATGTGCTCACTGCCCCATTTCTTAGCTATCTTTTGAGATGTTGTCCTCAATTTGATCCCATACAGACAGAACTCAAAAGAGCATGATGGTCAAGGCAGAAGACTTCAGGGGTATCTCTGGTTTGACAATTATCTTAGGGAAATAGTTTCTTGGAGGTTCATCCAACCTCAATAGCTCCAGAAGTCCTGGATTCATGAGAATATGAAATTCTGTTCTGCGGTTTCTCCCTTTTCATAAGGATTCTTCTATAGAATCTTCTATCAAAATGCTCCTCAATGGTAGCTGAGCACCATCCAGTCCTTCTGGTCTCATGGCAAAGGAGGCAGTTGTTCATGGAGGCAATGAGCCACACATTCCATTTTCCCCTTCTGTTCCTGCCTCTCCTTCCTGTTCCTCTAGATGCCAAATGCCTTTGTTCTAATTGGCCTGTTCTCAATTCCAAGGGTCAGGTGAGGTGAAATTACTCAACAGCAATGCAACATGTCCTTATATCCACAGAGGGAGTGGGTGGCCACCACACTGCCCTGTGCATCTTTCAGTTCCGAGTGTGTTTATCTTCTCTACTGGCTGGGAGAGCAAGTAACCCTATGCCTGCTTTAAACTCTGTCTTAAGTCTTGGTCTACTTGTTCATTTTACTTGCAGGTGAATATGATTGTTCATAAAGAAAACATCCCCCCTGTACTTTGATGGCTGGCATTTATTTAGAGTAGTGTTTTATTTATGCCAAAGGTTGTGTGTTAAACCCCTGTCATGGATTATCTAACATATTCTTCAAAAGCAGGGTTTTACATGGGAAATTAACATGAATATATATTTTTATTTTTAAAACATTAAGCTGGCTACAGTTAACAATGCACTTGAGAGAAGTAAGAGGAAAAATGGTTGCAATACAATTGCAAAAATCCAACCAAGATGGTTCTGTCTTGGACTACAATGATGGGACAGGAGCTGGAAAAAAGTGGATGGACTGCAGAGGTATTTAGAAGACTGACTCTACAGGACTCTGGTGTGGGTGTGAGGAAAAGGAAATACAAGAGGATGGCTCTCCAGTGTGAATTTGTTGATGACGAGCGAGATGTACACTTTGCCTGAAGGCTTTTCCACACTCTTTACATTCATAGGGCCTTTCTCCAGTATGGATTCTCCTATGAAGAGTAAGATGGGCAATCTGGCTGAAGGCTTTGCTACATTCTGCACACTCATAAGGCTTCTCACCTGTGTGAACTCTCTGGTGGAGAGTAAGGGACTTACGATGGCTAAAAGCTTTCCCACAAACATGGCATTCATAAGGCTTCTCACCAGTATGACATCTTTGATGACAAATAAGGGATGCCCTCTGTCTGAATGCCCTTCCACAGTCAACACATGCATAAGGTCTTTTGCCAGTGTGGAGTCTCTGATGTTGAATGAGACAGGAACCATCACTAAAGGCCTTCCCACATTCAATACACTTGTAAGGCTTCTCACCAGTGTGGATTCTCTGGTGTTGAACAAGGTGTGCAATCTGACTGAAGGCCTTACCACATTCCTTACACTCATAGGGCTTCTCTCCAGTGTGTATTTTCTGGTGTTGAACAAGGTGTGCATTCTGGCTGAAGGTCTTCCCACATTCCTTACATTCGTAAGGTTTCTCACCAGTATGAATTCTCTGATGGTGAGCAAGGTGTGTGCTCTGCCGGAAAGCTTTCCCACATTCCCTACACGCGTAGGGTTTCTCTCCAGTATGGACTCTTTGATGTTGAGTAAGTGAGCCCCGGTGGCTAAAGGCTTTCTCACAAATACTACAGCAGTAGGGTTTCTCTCCTGTATGAATTCTCTGATGGACAGTCAGGGATGAGCCATGGCTAAAGGCCTTCCCACATACACTACATTTGTAAGGCCTCTCTCCAGTATGGATTCTTTTATGCTGAATAAGTCCTATGTGATCAGTGAAAGCCTTGCCACAATCAACACAATCAAAGGGTTTCTCCCCAGTATGGTAATACCTTCGATGACGTAGAAGGGAAGCATTCTGCCTGAAGGCTTTCCCACAGTCAATACATTCATAAGGCCTCTTCCCAGTGTGAATCCTCCGATGATGAGCTAAGGATGAGCAGTCGCTAAAAGCCTTCCCACATTCAATGCATTCATAGGGTTTCTCTCCAGTGTGAACTCTCTGATGCTGAGCAAGGTGTGCCAGCTGGCTGAAGGCTTTGCCGCACTGCTTGCATTGGTAAGGTTTTTCTCCAGTGTGAACTCTCTGGTGTTGAATAAGATGAGCATTCTGGCTGAAGGATTTTCCACATTCAGAACATCCAAAGGGTTTTTCTCCTGTGTGTATTCTCTGATGTTGAGTGAGGTGGGCACTCTGGCTGAAGGCTTTCCCGCACTCGATACACTCATATGGTTTCTCTCCGGTGTGAACTCTTTGATGGAGTGTAAGGGTTGAGATTTTGGTAAAGGTTTTCTCACAGTCATTACATCTCAAAAGTTTCTTTTCTTCAGAGACTTGCTTGTGTTTTCTCAGAACTGAGTGCTTTTTTAAGCTTTTGTTATCTGTGTCACAATTACACATCCTCAATTCCACAGGAACAACATGTTTTATGTAAGATCCTGTATCCAGATGAGAAACTGTCCCATGTTTGTTAGAGCTGTCCCTTTCCCCAGTAAAAGTATCTATATGAGTGATCACCTCCTGCCTAAAAGGTGTCTTCTGACTTACAGGGTCCCTCTCAAACAGGTTTTCACATTTCCAGTGTTCTCGGAATGTGGGGAATTCAAAGCCACAGCTTGTAAGTTCTTCCATTAGCATAGCCGCAGATAACTGTTCTTCATAAATGTCCTGCTTTGGAGATAGCACATTCGTCATCCACTCATACGCCAAGTCTGAAAAACATTAAGAAAGCAAATGTCTCCTTATTAAATACTAGGAGAATGAGGATTTCTACAAAGAAGTAACAGTTATTAAAGTTAAACAGTTATCAAAGCCATGTTTATACCTGGTCCATGCTTTGATAGCTCCTAGCTAAGGTTATGTGATCTGGCCATCCTTCCATTTCTGAAAGAAATCCTCTTTGGTCAAGGTATATTATTTCAATGTGACCTTATATTCAGTTCACCAATGTTATTAATTCAGATTGGTTTGTAGTTTCTTTCTTTTTTTTTTTTTTTGATACTATGTTGGCAAAGTTTAGTATCAAATGTAATAATAAAATATTATAAACAAAACTTTTAAAAATTCCTCCTTTCTTTGCCCTGGAACATTTTAAATAGCATTGGTGACATTTTTCTTCACGTTTAATAGAATTTATTTGTGAAATGACTTGGGGCTGTTGCTTCTTTTCTTGGGGGAGGCAGTTCTTAAGTAACTTCCAATACTTCAATAATAATTAGTCTGTTTAAATTATGCATCTCCTGTAGTGTTAACTGTGGTAATTCAGATTTTCCTAGAACATCATTCATTTCATCTAAGTTTTCAAATTATTTGCATATGCACACAAAAACGCACTGCCGTCAAGTCGGATCTGACTCATAGAGACCCCTCCTTGAGTTTCTGAGGTGGTATCGCTACGGAAGTAGATTGCCCAACCTTCCTTCTGAGAAGTGGCTGGTGGGTTTGAACCACCAGCCTTCTGGTTAGCAGTCAAATGCCTTAGGCACTCTGCCACCAGAGCTTGAGAAAAATATATTCACATGTTTCTTTTCTTTGCACCTGTGGTTACTTTCCATTGTTTTTTTTCCCTGTAGGTAGATCTATTCATAGTAAGATATAGGAAAGGGAAGGAACCAGTGAGTGGAGTATGTGAATGAAAGGGTCTGCACACAGCTAAAGTCCAAATCACTACTTCAATGAAAAACTACTTAGATTATCCCAATGCATTAACTGATGGCAAGTAAGAAAAGACAAACAGTGTTTACAGATGGTTTAAAATATGATATACAACACAACACAAATTGGGACAATTCCATACAGTCCAGGTAGTTCACAGCTCAGTATCTGTGGGGTCCTTCTTCAGCTCAGATCTACACATGCTTCTGTATCAGGTCGCTGGGTCTCCAGGCTTGTCTGGCTTGTGGTACACAAGGCATCAACCTAACCCTGCTGCAGACCATCTCTTACACTGATAATTCGTATTTTTCACTTATTCTCTCATCTTTCCTCGCAGTTTATATAAGTTACTATTTTTAAAAAAATATTTCTAGGAGTTTGTTTTCATTAGACCTACTGTTTTCTAATTTATTTATTCCCACTCTTTTCTCCAGGTGTGTAAACCACAACTCATAACTGTGTTTTCTGTGGCACACAGTCCTCCTCAGGCACGCACAGGGTCCCCAGGAGCAGAGTGTCCTTTGTGGTGAGTGGTTTTACAGTGTCAGCAGTGCCAGCACCAGCACCTAAGTGTAAGCTGACTCTTTTCGTTACAACTTCTATGATGGGCAATTCGCCAGTATGTAAAAACATCACAAACGCACATGCCCTTGACCCAGGAATTGCAATCCTAAAGTTATGGCTTACAGCTTTACTACCATTTGTGTGAAAATGACTTCTGTGCAGGACTTCTCAGTGAAGTGCTACTGACAATAAGATATGACTGAAAGGAACATAATAAGCGTACAACAACAGAAGATTGGCTGAGCAGGTTACGCTGCAGTCACACACACAGTGGAACAGGATGCAGCTGTTCACACTGTCAGGTAGCTTCAGAAGTGAGGAAAGAAAAACAGTGGGTGTGGGTACTACCAGTTGTTTAATGTAAATAAAAGACAGTAACAATTACAATAATTACAATCATCACTGTAAACAAAAGCGTACAGTGCAGGATAGTGTGTGTTGTACACCACCACAGACAGTAAAACCTCGGAAAGCTGGAACCTGTGTGAGCCTCTCAGGGAAGGAAACACAAACATCCATCAAAATGAGCAAAAGGAAAGTGGTAAGACTGCACCTGTCAGAGGCAGAAACCCTGCAAGACCTGGGAGAATAGCACAGTATCATCAAATCTGGCTCTGACAGGTTTCGCTGTACGTGAAAAAGAATCTACACCTATTCTACGTGTATTTACACAGAAGAATAAGCCTCTCAAAAAGAAAAAAACAAACCTCATTGCCATCGAGTCAATCCTGACTCACAGCAACCCCCGTTGGGTTTCTGAGGTGGTAAATCTTTACAGAAGTAACTTGCCCCACCTTCCTTCCACGTAGTGGCTGATGGGAACTGCCAACAGTCAAATGCTTTAGGCACTGCACCAGCAGAGCTCCAGCTTCTGGTTGGCAGCGAAATGCCTTATTCATTGTGCCTCTAGGGAAGGACAGCAGGTGGCTGCTGTACAGAAGAGAGAATCTCAATTTTCACTCTAAACCAACTTACACCTTTAAAATTTTGTACCACGTATGTATACAACCTATGGAAAACAACAACAAAAAAAACTAAATTAAAAATAACAAAACAAAACAAAAAACAAAAACCCTTACCTAAAAATGTGAATGACTCTTCTGTGGAAAGTGGAGGTTTTTTTTAATTGACGTGAAGTACATGTTTGCCACCTGCCTGTCAACTGTCACATGTGGTGGAGTATGTGTTGCCATGGTGTTGGAAGCCATGCCTCTGATATTTGAAAAAACACCAAGGTCAGCCATGGTGGACAGGTTTCAGTGGAGTTTACAGACTAAGACAGGCTAGGAGAGGCCTGTCCATCTCCTTGTAAAAATCAGCCAATGAAAAGTCTATGGGTCACAACAGTGTTCGAGGGAGTGCTGGGAAGGTAAGCCCTCAGGCTGGAAGGCACGCAAAACACAGTGGCTACAACAATGCACACAAGTGTTCCAACTATTGTGAAGATGGCTCAGGGTGGGTCACGGTTTCATTTTGTTGTGCATGAGGTCACTGTAAGTCAGAGGTGATTAACAACTCAGAGGAAGGTGTTTATACCCATAGCTGTCAAGCTGCTTCTGACCCACAGTGCCCCCAGAGGACAGAGCAGAACTGCCCTATAGGGTCTCCAAGGCTGCAAATCTTCGCAGAAGCAGAGCCGAAAGAAAACGCACTACCATAGAGTCAATTCCAACTTACAGCGGCCCTAGAGGACAGAGTAGAACTGTTCTATAGGGTTTCCAAGGCTGCAAATCTTTATAGCAGCAGACTGCTACATCTTTTTCCCACAGTGTGGTTGGTGGGTTTGAACCACAACCTTTCAGCCAGCAGCTAAGTACTTCACCAGTGCACCACTCCCTGTCACCCCTAAGAATGATCAATTCCTTGGTAGCTTATTACACTTACTAACTTCTCTAACTGGCACTGTCAGAGTGACTGAAAAAAAAAAACCAGAGTCAATAAATGAGGAATGACTGAATGAATCCATTACCAATTATTCAATCAAAGGCAACTGTTGAGAAAATACTCCAGTGTCAGAAAAAAGATATCTTAAGAAATAGAGAGGTGGGGGAGCTGGAAGAAATGGAACCCAGAGAACTAAAGACTGAGTTACGGAGAGAAGGGATGTAGAAGGGGATGTATGGGGAATCCTGTGTTGGTGAGGCCTCAATTCTCTCCACAGGCCCCGGGGACTGAGAGGTATTTTCCACCACGTATCTGAGAAAAGAAATTATCTTGACAATAGTTTCCTCCCCTCTGGTTATGCCACACTCACCTCTTGTCATCTTTCCACTCACTTCCCAGGGCTCCTTCCCCTGTTCCAATAAGGAGATCACATCTGGTTTAGAAATGCAAAGACCTGCATGTGGAGAAAGAGACGGTAACTGGCCATGATATGGGTATACCAAAACTACGACCCAGTCCTCATGGTCTTGAGAGAGGTTATGGACTGAATTGGGTACCCCCACAAATATGTCTTGTAAATCCAATGCCTATGGTTTTAATCGCATTGGGAAACAGGCCTTCTTTCTTATGTTAATTATAGTATCAGTGTAGGGTATGTCTTAAGTCAGTCTGTTGTAAGATATAAAAGAGTTTAAACAAGCAAGTGAGCAAGCAGAAATGGGGGAAGACAGATGCCAAACCACATGGAGGTCTGCAAGCAACCAGGAAACACGAGCTTTAGAGGCAGTCCTTCCCACAGAGGCCACAGAGAAAGCAAGCCTTCCCTTAGATCCAGTGCCCTGAATACGGACTTACCAGCCTCTGAACTGTGAGAATATAACTATGAACCAGTCCTCATTCTGGTCTTGAGAGAGAAGACCAAGGCAAGAAAATGCTGATTAAGGCAGTGTTATGGATTGAATCATGTACTGGTGGTATTTCTCTTTCAGCAGAATTCGATAACTAAGATAGACAGGAAGGATTTCTGAGTTATAGGGAGGCAGGAGGAGAAAAATGCTCTTACCCACAGAGACCAGGTTCCTGTAGTTCTCCAACATCACCTTCCTGTACAAACTCCTTTGAGCAAGGTTCAGCCATTCCCACTCTCCTTGGGAGAAGTCTATGGCCACATCCGTGAAAGTCACTAAGCCCTGAAATGACACCGGTGTGTTGTTATTAGGGGCCGCTGAGATGGTTCTGAATCATAATGACCCCACGTATAAGAGAATGAAGTGCTGCTCGGTTCTGGGTCATCCACACAATCACGGCTCTGTGTGAGCCACTGTTGCAGCCGCTGTGACCATCCATCTTGCTGAGGGCCTTCCTCTTTCTTGCTGACCCTCACCGAGCATGACATCATTCTCCAGTGACTGGTCCCTCCTATAACATGTCTAAAGTACATAGGACAAAGTCTTGTCATCCTCACTTTTAAGGAACATTCTGGCTGTCCTTCTTTCAATATACATTTGTTTATTCTTCTGGCATTCAATGGTATATTCAATATTCTTCACCAACACTATACCTCAAATACATCAACTCTTCTCCAGTTTTCCTCATTCACTGAGCACCTTTCACATGCGTATGAGGTGACTGAAGATACCATGACTTGGATCAAACACAGCTTAATCATAAAAGTGATATCTTTGTTTTTCACTCTTGCTCAATCTGTTTTCATACCCCCATGCTGCTTTAGGGTAAAGATTATGTTTTTCACTCTGGGATGAAAACACTGTTTGAGTAAATGCTATGGGGTCTCAGTGATCCAAGTCAGGTAGTTATTAGACAGTCTTTCTGCCTAGTTATCTTGTACTTATTAGGCAGAAGAAAAGAAGAACGTGAGATATTCTCCATTCTCAGAACATTTACAACTTTATGATGAGAAGACATTCTCACATGAGAAAAAAAATGGTGACTGCATTCAAAACAAGATATAATCAATGCTAGATTATGTTACTTATTTTAAGAGGTGGCCCACTTCTCTACTTGGGGAAATTAGAGAGCCTCTGGGACTGCAAGGGGAAGTTTCAAGGAAGGGTGCTAATCTGATGAACATGATTTCAATCCCAACAATATTTGCTAAGGAATCTTAGTGTTCTTGAGGTGCTAAGAGATATACAAAAAAAAAAAAAAAAAAAAGGAGAAACCAAAACCTAGCAATCTTTTTCATTCTAAATTAAAATCACAGTTGTATTAAGAATGCAGAACACTGCAGTTCATGAAGTTCTGTTCTACATCCTAGTTTGGTGAGTGGTGTCCAGAGTCTTAAAAACTTGTGAGTGGCCATGCAAGACTATTGTTCTCTACTCATCCACAGCAAAACAGAAAGGAAACTAAAGACTCAAAGAAGAAACTAGCTACAGGACAAAGAGTTTACATGAACCATGACATCATCTACTCTGAGACCAGATGAACTAAATGGTGCCCAACTACACTATGGACTTCTAATCAGGACCACAATAGATGGACCCTGATTGAATGGGAGAAAAATGTGGCATAGAACCTCAAATTCCTAAAAAACAACAAAAACAACAACAACAACAAAAACAGACCTACTGGACTAGTTGAGACTACAGGATTCTCTGAGATGCTCTTCAAACCTTGAACTCACTCTAACCTCTGAGGTCACCTTGTAGGCAAATAACAAACTGACTTGAAAAATAATGCGTATCACACCTATAAGTACTGTGCTAATTTAAAAAATAACCTATATGAGACCAAACATCCAACAATGACTTTAAAACAAAAATGAGAATGTAAGGGGGCAGGGAAACTAGATGAATGGAAACAGAACAAGCAGAACAGAAGGAATGAGACGTTCATGCACTGTGGAGACTATACTCAATGTCCTGAACAATCTGTGTAGAAACTGCTGAATGGGAACTGAAACTGCTGTATAAGCCTTCACCAAAGACACACACACACACACATATAGAAAAAGAATACAGAACACATTTGGAAAGTTGGTTTTTGATAATCTACTGAGACGTATCAAAGGAGATAACATGATGTGAACATGTGTCAAGGAAGTTGTGTTTTGCTGCATGGGCTTCATTCCCTCATCAACCAGAGCAAGGTGATATTTTATCTAATTACCACATACTGTGGTAGTGACAAGCATAGTCTCTGAAGCCAGACTACCTATGTTCAAACCCTGTTCGCGTTTCTGAGGCAGTATTGCTATGGAAGCAGATTGCCCAATCTTCCTTTTGAAGAGTGGCTGGTGGGTTTGAACCACCAGCCTTCTGGTTAGCAGTCAAATGCCTTAGGTACTATGCCACCAGAGCTCTCTCAATAAGTCTAAGCTATTAATCTTCTACTATTGAACACATTAAACAAACAAAAACAAAACAAAAAAAAAAACCTCAAGACCAACTTTCTTAACCAAACTCAAGATAAACCAACTTTCCAAATGTCCAAATGTGTCATTCATTCAGTCATAAACACACACACACCACAAGGAGCCCTGGTGGTGCTGTGCCTAATGCATTTGACTACTAACCAGAAGACAGTGGTTCAAACCCACCAGCCACTCCACAAAAGGAAGATGGGGCAATCTACTTCTGTAGTGATACTGCCTCGGAAACCCAAGGAAGGGTTGCTAGTCTGACTTGATGGCACATAATAACAACAACAGCAAGGATGTGGAGATATCGGGACTCTCATACACTGCTAGTGGGACTGTGAAGTGATACAACCACTGCAGAAAGCAATATGGTGATTCCTTAGAAAGTTGGAATTGGAGATACCATTTGACCCAGCAATCCCATTACTAGGTATATATCCTAGAGAGGTGAGAGCCAGGACAGGAACAGATTTATGCACACTCATGTTCATCGCAGCATTATTTACAATAGCAACAAGATGCAAACAACCTACATGCCCATCAGTGGAAGAGTGGATGACCAAACTATGGTATATACACAATGGAATGCTATGCAGCAGTAAAGAATAATGCAGAGTCTGCAAAACACCACATAATATGGATGAACTTGGAGGACATTCAGCTGAGTGACATAAGTCAATCACAGAAGGACAAATACAGTATTAGTTTGTTGCTGTGGAGGGTCAAGGAAAGATTTATACATGGAGGGAAACTTTCTTTGTTGGTTGCCAGAGGTGGGAGGGGAGGGGAGGGAACACTGCAAAAAACAAAAAAAGCATTGACCCATGTCACTTTAGTTTTGTGTATTTCACTGTACATAAATTATATTTCAATAAAATGCATTAAAAAATTAGCAGAAGACATTAATACTCACTTCACCAAAGAGGATCTTCAGGCAGTCAGCAAATACATGAAGAAATGCTCATGATCAATAGCCATCGGAGAAATATAAATCAGAACAACAATGAGCTACCATCTCATCCCAGCACGAATGGCAAAATTCAACAAGACAGAAAATAACAAATACTGTCAAGTGTGTGGAGAGACTGGGACTCTCATACACTGCTGGTGGGACTGTACAATGATACAACCACTGTGGAAAACAGTATGGCAATTCCTTAAAAAGTTGGAATTAGAAATACCATTTGACCCAGCCATTCCATTACTAGGTATGTATCCTAAAGAAATGAGATCCAGGATAAGAACATATATATGCACACCCATGCTCACCACAGCACTATTTACAATAGCAGAAAGATGGAAAAAACCTGCGTGCCCATCAACAGGAGAATGGATAACCAAACTATGGTTCATACACACAATGGAATACTATGAAACCCTAAAGAATAATGTAGAATCTGTAAAACACTACATAACATGGATGAACTTGGAGGATATTATGCTGAGTGAAATAAGTCAATCACAGAAGGACAAGGATAGTTTTAGTTCATTATTGTAAAAAATCAAGGAAAGGTTTATATATGGAAGGAAACATCCTTTGTCAGTTACCAGGAGTGGGAAGGGAGGGGAGGAACACTGCCAAAAACACACAAAAACCATTGACCCATGTCATTTTAGTTTTGTGTATTTCACTGTACATAAACCGTATTTCAATAAAATGCATTAAAAAAAAAGTTTACTGCCTTGGAAACCCAATAGAGGTCACTATGTGTTGGAATTGACTTGACTGCAGTGAGTATGG